GAGGCGGCGCCCTGCCCCGTCTCAGTGGGCACATCACCATAGGGCTGCCGGGGTGGCGACGGTTTGTGCAGCCTTGCCGCTCTCGGGCTCGACCTTGCAACGGTGGTGCTTCGACAGTGTCACCTGCTGAGCCAACATCGTATCTTGCATGCCTGTGTGATTGCCCTCAAACTCACCCCTATGTTGGGCTCCATGTGGTCAGCGTCGTAGGTCTCTGCTATGTGAGGTGCCTTGGGTGGGAAGGAGTGGCGCAAGCAGAAAACTCAGTCAGGAGCATAAAACAACGGTGACCACGCTGCACCACACTTCCTAGGCTTGCAGAGCCATTGGGCATGCCCAACGAGGAGTGGGGGTTGGGGATTTGAATTGTTATAGGATCCCGCGGTCGCCCGCTTCTGGAACCATCCAGCCTCATACAAAAGGATTTTACTTCAAAGCATGAGCGTTGTGTGCTGGACTTCAAGCGGCCACCGTACGCTGTGCAAAGCAGGCGTGCACGAAAGCCCCTTCGTGCGTGCTGATCTGCACTGCGCACAAAGGCGCGCATGCGGGCATGTGCAGCCAGGTGCGCAAACGAGGGCGCAAAGCGCGGCGCGGCACGCAGGTTCGCATGTGCAGGGCAATCAAGCAATAATGCATGTTAAGATGTGTCCGCAACGCCTGTCATTGTACATGGCATGGCCGATGGGCGGGGGTGTTGCAATGCAGGGCGGGGGACGCCGCGAAGGGAGGAGGGCAGCAGCGTAGGCGCATGAGCGCCTGCGCGAGTTGGTGGCTCCGGAATCAGGACATAGTAGGGCATGCGGGGTGGGAAGCCGGCCTCAGGCACCTCATCCGCATCGCCAGCGGCAAAGCAAGCCTCGTACTTGGCGCAAGCGCCATCCCCGGCTGGACGGCCGGTGCGGCCAGGTTTTACTGCGCGGGGCCCCATGCATGCAACTTCCACCCTCCTGACTATTTGGCGCACGCCCACCATCGCGGCTAGGCCATGGTCCAAGGCGTTGTGCACCCCTGCCGCTCACGTCGCCAGAAATAAAGGCGCCGTACTAGGCTGCCAGCCAACCAAGCACATGCAGCCACAAGCGTGCGTGGGCAGGGGAAAGGGGGAGCGCAGACGCGCATGATCAGCCACAACAGTCAGGCCTGCACCGACCTTGGAGGGGTGGGGAAGGCTTCACAGGACAGGGCCAGCAGCAGCATGAACAGCAGCAGCAGTGGCAGCGGCAGCGGCGGCAGCAG